TATGTGATTAGGTATTATTGTCATCACAGGAGTCCAGAATGAAGGCTGAATACTGGAGTGGACTTGGGGGGGAGGGAGGGGCGCGGATTGTAAAACAATGAAAGAAGTTTTCTTTTACTTTTCAAAGAGAAGAGAGTGTGTGGGGGGAGCAGTGGGCAGGGTGAAAAGTGCAACAATGAATGAATAGAAATCCAAAGTCTCTAAATTTTCATTAAAATGAATAACAATACTAATTTTTTTATTTAAAAAAAGAAGAAGGCAGGACAGTGGTCTGGGCATTTACGGGGCTTGGGGAGAGTGGGATTCACTTGTTCCACCTGCTCCTGGAGTATGAGTACAGGCAAGAGGAACAGAGACCACCAAGAGATGATTTCTCATGGGGGGTGGGGGTGGGTTCTGGTTGGAGTCACGGGGGTGGGGGGTTTACTGGGTGGGGGTTCTCCATCAGCCTTGTTCCTCCTTGGCTGGGCAAGTAAGTAGTCAAGTTCTGCTCCTGTCACCTCCCCAAGTGTGATCTGGGTCCCCCTGGCTTTTCAGGGATAGCAGAAGCAAGCACAGGAGCTGCAGGGTGGGGAGTGATGATGGCAGAATTCACACTCCCCAGGAGGGTCAGCTTCTAGACACAGCCCTCTAGCACAGCCAGCACCTGGACATCAGGTTGCATGGAGATGCCAAAGTAGGATCTAGTGGCCGGGGGAGATCATCAATCAGCTGATGACAATGCGTGGATCCAATAGAAGAGCTACTTAGCTCTGTAAGTGATCAAGGGCCAGCAGGACAGATCACATGGTGCAGGGCTGATCATGTGCAGGCTTCTGTTCTTGGGCTATAGCCCTGCTCTGGGGACTGACTTAACATTTAACATCACGGCAGGGGGCTCTGGCAGCACAGTCCACAGGGAGCTGTGCTGCTGACCCACAGGCTTGTCCTCAAATCCTCAGTCACCACCTACCCTTCAACGTGGACCCCCGAAAACTGCTTCTCCAGGAGCTCTTTGTCCTCTGGACTGAGGAGGACGAAGCCTGCGATCTGGCTTGCACTGTACTCAGGCCGGAAGCCCAGCTTCTCCCGGTTCTCAATGAAGCAGCTTGGGTGGTACCATCGGTCAATCACGCCCATTTGTGGCTTCTCCGGGTCCAGCATCTTCTTGGACAGGCGCATCTGGCCCTGTAGGAAACCAACACATGACACCGAAAGGCAAAGAAATGTGGTGGGGATTAGAGGGGACCAGGAGGAAGCTCCTGGCAACCTGCAATCCAAACCATAAGGCCCTAGGATCAAACCGTAGCCTGGTCTGCCATTAAGGGGTGTGCAGAGGCTCTGCTCTCAAGTCATCAAGGATTATGTGTGACTGTCAAGTCTTGACATCTGCATCTGTAAGTGTCTAAGGTTTTAACTTTCAGATGTCTTTCCTAGCCAATCAGTAACTATTTTAGGCTGATGAAATGAAATATTAAGAAAAGAAAAAGAGGATTAGCCTACTACATTGCCATGGTGTTCAAGACAGTGTGGTACTGGTACAATGACAGATACATAGATCAATGCAATAGAAATGAGAATCCAAAAATCAGCCCATCTACCTATGGTCAATTGATTTTAGACAAGGAGATTAAACTACCTGCAGAAAACTTAAGGAAGATCCATACCTCACTCCATAAACAAAAACCAACTCAAAGTTATGGACCTATGACTAAAACCAAGGACTATAAACTTCATTAAAGAAAAGCTTGGAAGAACTCTAGAAGTCCTAATCCACAACATAAAGTCTTCTAAGCATCCTGAAAAATCTACAACTAGATGAATAGGACCTTCTAAGAATCAAATCCCTATGCACATTCAAAAACTTCTGCAACAGGATAGAAAGGGAAGCCACACACTGGGAAAAAATATTTGGTAATGACATGTCAGATAATGGACAGAATTTATAAAATACTCAAGCACCACAAGATAACAAATACATGAAGAAATGTTCAAAATCCTTAGGTCTAAAAGATGCAAATCAAAACAACTATGAGATATCATCTCACCCCATTAAGAATAGCAAACTTCAACAGAGCAGCAAACAACAAATGCTGGAGAGGTTGTGGAGAAATTGGAACCCTTATTTATTGTTGGTGGGAGTGTAAAATGGTACAACCACTATGGAAGGCTGTATGGTGCCTGTATGGTGTTGGACATAGAAATATCATTGGACCCAGCAATTCCACTACTGGGAGTATACCCTAAAGAAACTGTAACTGCCACCCAAGCAGATATATGCACACCCATGTTTATCACAGCTTTGTTCACAATAGCAAAGAGTTGGAAACAACCTAAGTGCCCATCAGCAAACAAATGGATAGAGAAGCTGTGATACATCCACACATGGAATACTATGCTGCATTGAAAAATAAGGAATCTATGCAATATTATACAAAATGGGTGACCCTGGAGGACATTATGCCGAGTGAAATATCTCAGTCACAAAAGGACAAATACTACATAGTGCCACTGTTGTAAAACGTGACTGATATTGGGGTTGGGGGGGAGACTGAGAAAAATGGGATAAATTATGTATGCTGCATTGAAACAGATGAGGGAGAGAATTTAAAAGACATATATGATTAGGTATTATTGTCATGATACGAGTCCAGAACAAAGGCTGCATAGTGGAGAGGACTTTGGGGGTAGGGATTGTATAAAAATTATTGAGAGGGCACCCAGCTGCACAACTGACAGTATACAGGATCCAGGCCAACATCACCCACAGTGAGCACCCAGTTACACTACAAGTGACACTATGCAGGTTCCTGGCTCATCACTCACCAGTTTCTACAAACCCAGCCTGCGTATCTACAGTCATGAGAGTCATTTCCCTGACAGGTCTGAGTCTCTGGGAGACCTTCTAGTGAAATCACTGAACCCAAGGGCCACAGAGGAGCTGGGGAAGTAAACAGAGAAGGAGCTGTTGATGCAAGAAACCAGGAAGCTATATGGCAGGTCAAGCATCTGGGATAATACTGGCTTGACACTTCTCTTAACTGGTCGGCTATTGATGTTAGGAGAACAAATTATAAAAACATCATCTTAAAAGGGTTCATTTCATCTGGCTGGCTAGTTATCTCTTGGCCTGGGCAAGCAAGGTGGGCAATGTCCCAAGGACATATTGGGGGTGGGGTCTGGATGAGCAAGGATAAGAACACTTGACTGGGTAAGCTGGAGCCCTTCAAACACCTTGACCTATCACAGAGTGAGCCCCATAAGAAACAACTTCTCATGGAAGTGATGCAGAACTCTCTGCACCCTCAAAAAGGACTTCTTTTCCACATAAGAATTAACAGATCCAGAAGGAGGACCCAGAGCTGTTTAGGCCTCTATTCCTGGGACAAGTCCAGCTGTGAGCACCAGGCCCCAAGCAGCCCACAGGAGAGCCAAGGACATGTCAAAACCTCTACCTCAAGACATGCCATCCCCACTCATGGCATTCCCCATCAAATAATTTAAAAAAAAAAAAACAAAAAAACAACACAGTAAGATACAAACAGAAACCAAAAAACAAAATAAAACCAATACACATAACCTATACTCAATTTCTGATGTGTAAAGACAAAAGAGAAATCTAGCAGGTCTTCCCTTTCTAAGACACCGACTAGCTTTCCCAATTTCCTATAAATGACTCTGAAAGCAGAAACCCTGAATCTCATACACGTAATGAGGATCCAAGAAGGGTGAGCAGGCTGTGCCCCACCGCCAACCTCCCTTTGTGTGGACAACTTTCCATTCACCTCGAGTGGCTGTCTTTCAGAAGTCAGCATCCTTGGAAGGACTGGTAAATCAAGTGCCTTAATGAACCAGGAAGAATGAGGAAGCTCTTATCAGGAACAAACACGCTCCATAAAATTAATCCTCTCATCAAACAATGCAGGAGAAGGATGAGCACTGGGTCAGCTACAGGTCAGTTCCGACTTGGGCACAGAACTGGGCACTCTGGTGGCCCAGCTTGGATGGGGGAGTGCTGCTAACCTACAGTTCTTTGCCAGTGAGTCCACCAGTGGCTCAAGGAGAAAGATGGGCAATCTCCCATGGATTTACAGGCTCACAAAACCCACTACACAGTCAGCTGGGAGTTGCTTTGACTCCACAGCAGTAATGGTTCTTTATTCTGGAACAGCACAGAACTAGCAACTCAAGTCCTAACATTTTGCTTTGACTTGAACCAGATGTGTCGCCTGGCCTCGCACTCACTCACCTTCTCGATCTTCTCCAGACAGCCCTTGCACGTGCTCCTGTTAGACTTTGCGTACTCAGCTGCGAAGTCACTCAGTGTCCTCATGGCCTGAGCCTCATTGCCAGCCTGGCTTTTATCTAAAGAATCAAACACAAAACCAATCTCTGAGTATAATTCCATGAGATCCCACCCACCCTTCTCAAATCCCCAGGATTCTACCACCTTGTGTTTCTGGCCAGTAGAATTTTTCTATTTCCTCTACCATCTGTTTACAACCACTAGGATTATAGTCTCCCGAAAACCGCATGTGCCCGATCAGATTTGAGGCAATGAGTAAGTAGTTGTGGTGTTGGGCACCATTGCGTTAACTACACAGGATGAGACGGTCTATCTTTCTCCCATGGATCTGAACCGTATGTCCCAGGGTTGGCAGTGCAACTCCTTACCACTAAGCCACCGAACCCCATGAGTCAGTGACTAGTCATGGCAGAAAAATGACACTTCATAAACAAGCTCTTCTGAGGCAACCCAGTGTAGGTGGCTGACCTCCCACTTCACTCTATTTTAACTGGCCTCCTTCCTCACTTTGGGAAGTACTTATTAAGTGCTCACTAGAAGTTTCAGATCACTGAGTGAGGCAAATACTAAACATGTCCAGTTGCCAACCAAATGGGCAGAGGTTTGAGTCCATCCCAAGATGGCTAGGACATCTGTTTGATGACTTACACCTGAAAAATCAAAGTGTCTGCAGCCCTGTGTTGACACACATGGGGTTGTCAGGAAGTAGAGCTGATACACAACAGGATGTGTCTTTTTTATAAGCTGCACACCCTACTAAAATCTATCACAATCTTCTAGCCTCCACTACACTTGTATTCCTCAAAATCAAATGTTACAGTATACTTAGGGGCACTTTATGAACACTCAGAAAAGGAGAGTTAAAGTGGTTCTATCATTTGAAAACTATGGTCAGTGTCACTAAACTGGGCACGTAAAAACTAAACGGTTGTATGCTTTGCTATGTATATTCTAAACAAAGAAATAGAATGAGAAAAAGTTGTATGCTCAAGTTAAAAGAATGAAAAAGTCTTACTGTAGAAATCAGACAGGCAAAAATTAAAGACATGGTAGAGGCGTTTCAAATCAGTGGAGAGGGAATCATTCAACAAGGACTTGACCGGCAATATGTTTAGAACAAAAGTCAGATTCTATGTAAAAATAAATTCCAAGGCTGAGTATGTCTCCCATTATGATCAGGGAGCTTGGTGGCTAGAGTGGTAAGGATCCGCCCTGTCAGCGCAAAGGCGCATAGAATCCATCAGCTGCTCCTCAGGAGAAAGATGGGCAAGATGCTACAGCGCAATTTATTTTCTCTGAAAACTTGCTAGCAAGTGACATATGAGTCAGTTCCTATCTGATGGTACACAACAAGATCAAGAATGAGACCAGTCTCTTCACTCATTACTCTGTATCAGAGGTGCTAGTGAAGCCATTAGGGAGCGCTGGTGGCCGAATATTCTGTAAGAAGCTGCAATGCAATCCCAAAGGCATCAAGTTTGAATCCACTAGCTACTTTGCGGAAGAAGGATGAGCTATCTTTTCCCTTTTGATTTACTGCCTCTGAAAACCGCTGCAGGAGTAAGGAGTCAGTTCTGGCTTCATGGCACACAAGAACAAAAACAACTACTTAAAATTGTGCAAAGATTGAGAGGATAAAAAGGGAACAACTCACTCAAGGTGAAAGAGGGGATATGCACACCCATATTTATTGCTGTTTTGTTTACAGTAACAAAGAGTTGGAAACAACCTAAGTGCCCATCAACAAACAATGGATAGAGAAGCTCTGGTATATTCACACAATGGAATACAATGCTGCATTGAAAAACAAGGAACTCATGCAATATTATTCAAAATGGGTGACCCTGGAGGACATTATGCTGAGTGAAGTATCTAAGTCACAAAAGGACAAATACTGCATGGTGCCACTGTTGTAAAACAGGACTGACATGGGGTTGAGGGGAAACTAAGAAAAGAGGATAAATAATGTACATGGCATTGAAACAGAGGCAGAAAACTGTATAAAAGGGCTATGTGATTAGGTAATGGCAAGAGTCCAGAATAAGAGCTGCATAGTAAAGTGTTTGTGGGGAGGGGAATGACAACTGTACAACAATGAAAGAACTTTTTTCCACTAAGAAAAACGCAAACTGGGTAGAGGTAGAGGGAAGCAGGGAGGGAAAGGTGCAGCAATGAATGATTGGGAATCCAAGTTCTTAAACTTTCATTAAAATCTCGAAAACAAACGTGGCAGGATGTAGCTGTTATGGCAAGCTCCATCTGAACTCTGTGGGGTTTCCGGAGAAAAGCGTGTTGCTGCTCTTAATCCGGCTTGATTTGCTTTTCCCGTCTACTGGACGAGGTTTCAAGAGGACTTGAGACTAATTGCAGATAATCAAGAGACCATGCCTTCTGCATCCTGTGACACGCTCCTGGATGATATAGAAGATATTGTGACGCAGGAAGATTCAAAGCCACAGGATAGGCATTTTGCCAGAAAGCACGTTGTTCCAAAGGTGCGAAAGCGAAATACCCAAAGTATTTGCAAGAGGAAAACAGTCCACCTAGTGATAGCACTATTCCAGGCATACAGAAAATTTGGATGCGAACATGGGGCTGTTCACATAATAATTCAGATGGAGAATATATGGCCAGACAGCTCGCTGCTTATGGATATAAAATTACAGGGAATAAAGCAGACAGAAAATAAAGCTAAGGGCCTTCAAAATGGGATTTTCATCTACTCTGAAATAGGGGAAGGAAATTGAGTCTCTAGCGAAGATCTGGAATGCTGCTTACTCTTGAGGGTGAGCACCCAGTGCTGAAAACGGGAGATTTGGGGCAAAATGAAATCTTTTCCAAGTTTATTCTTAGCATGTCATTTCAGTCTTTTCCACTAAATCGTATTTTGAATTAGCCAAGTTTACCAGTTTTAATGTGCATTCTATTGAACATATTGTGAGCACGAAGGGAGAATGATGAATGAACCAAACACACCAAACACGCTTCTGGGTTAATGCCTAATTACTGCTTTTTATCATGAGGGTATGTTACACAGAAGAAGTGGTACACACAAGACTCATTACACCTGTGTCTGTCTTTGCTCCACCCTGCCAGTGTTTTTAGTAACCATTTTGACTTTCATCTAGTGAAGGTTTCTGACTTTATTTAGTTAACTAGTTTTAACTAGTAATTTTAAAATGGACACATACTGCATTTTAGCTAAGATTTTGAAATCAAAAGAATTACCTGAACTCTGAAATTTGAGTAGAATTAAGAGTAGCAAGTCAAGGAAATACTCCCCCCCCCACCCCCCTTGGAGATATCTTTTCTCCCAGTGAAAACTTGATTGTTAGCTATTTTATAAAAATAAAGGAACTGTCTCCATGTGAGGAGGACCTTTTCCCTGATTTGAGTTTTGTGAGGATGATTAACTCTGAGGAAAGGGGAAAGGAAAAAAAGAAATTAACTATAAAGGTGGTCTGGAAAAAGTATTATTGTAAAATAAAATAAAACTTTAGAAAATCACTAAGATATGTAGAAGAAGTAGGAGACACTGAAAATGCTATAAAGACCACTAAAGATGAAATCAAATTATGGCAAAGAAGCTATAAGGGGAGCTTTGGAAGTTAATTTTTTATCCTGTTTGTACCAGCTTTTTATTTTGTGACAACTTAGGTAAAGTGTGAATCATATGTAAGCCATAAACATGGAGTTTTTTCTTTCTTTGAAAAAATTCATTGCTATTTTCAGTGATGCTGCTTTTGGTTTTCACAGATAAAGAATACAATAGTGAATTAAGATGTTTTATCTTTTGTTAAATATAAACAGTTATGTGAATATAGTCAGTGTTATTTTGTATTAATGCTGTAATAAATGAAGCATAGACATCTTTTCCTTGCCAAATGTACACAGAAAACACTGTGAAAACAATAAAACAAATTTTGCAAAAAAAAAAATCTCAATAAAAAAAGAAAGTTGAAAGAGGGAAGTGCAAATTCAAGCCTCGAGTCGCAACGCTGAGAGACTATGGCAAAAACCTGCATTCATAAGGAGGAATCAAAAGAAGATGGAAGGAATACACAGTCACTGTACCAAGAACGAATTGGTATATAACCAGTATCACGTGATAAAGATCCAACGGTGATGAGAGGAAAAGTTCAAGCTGCACTGAAAAAAAAAATAAGACCTCAGAATCCATGAGATTCAATTGATCCGCTTTTAAGGATGCAACCCTGCTCACCATACAGAAAATTTAGAAGGCAGTATGGTGCCTTCTCAAAAAGTTGGAAATAAAAATACCATTTGACCCAGCAATTCCACTACTGGGAATATACCCTAAAGAAACCAGAACTGCCACTGAAACAGATACATGCACACCTATGTTTATTTTGGCTTTGTTCACAAAAGCAAAGAGTTGTAAACAACCTAAGAGTACATCAAAAAACGAATGGACAGAAAAGCGCTGGTATATTCACACAATGGCTTTGAAAAACAAGGAACTCATGAAATATAGCACAAAATGGGTGATCCTGGAGCACATTATGTTGTTATGTGACTCATAGTGACCCTATGTACAACAGCCCTAAACTCTGCTCTGTCCTGTCTCACTGCCTCCCAACACAACCATCCCGATAACCCCAGTCACTGAATCAATCCACTTCATAGAAGGCCTTCCCCTCCTGCACTGTCCCTCCACCCTCCTAAGCATGTTGTCTCCCTCCAAGGATAGGTCCCTCCTCACAACATGTCCACACTATGTCAGATAAAGCCTCAGGATCCTCCAAGGAGCAGCCTGGTTTAACCTTCTCCAGAATGAATGTTTGTTTTCTTAGCAGTCCATGGTACATTCAATACTCTTCTCCAGGGCCACAGCTCAAAGGCATCAATTCTCCTTCTATCCTCCCTAGTCATTGTTCAACTCTGTGATGCATAACAAGTGATTGCAAAGACCATGGCCTGTATCAAACGCACCTTAGTCTCCAGAGTGGCACCAATGATCTTCAGTACTTTGGAGAGGGCTGTAACGGCAGACTTTCCCATCACAATACGTCTTTTAATTTCCTGGCTGCTGGTGTTA